CACAGTCACTTTAAACTTAACAACCTTTATAACACACGCTATAAATCGCAGTGATTCACACACACTTTACTTACGGTGCCTGCTGTGCGCTTGACTCAATTATCTATCTCTTCAATCTATCAAAATCTCTTCTCTCGCTGGCTTTATTTGCCGGGCTTAAATACTAAAAAAGAGGGCGCCTGCCAAACACTTGGAAATTTGCAGGGTTCCTCGATAAGTCATGATCCTTCTACAAACTCCAGCGCGCATGCTCCCAGCATCGCGTGACTTCCCCTGTCGTAACACTATGATGTTTGCCGGAAAGGGTTCAGAGAAGGGTTACTAAAATGGTGTCTGGAATGGAGGGGTTGTCATACAAGGAGAGGCTGAAATCTCCCAAATTGTTTTCCCTTGAAAAAGAAGAGTTAGAAAATTGTAAAGGGAATTGATAGTGTTGATGCGTCATCTTTTTTTCATATTTAACAGTGAGAATAGTAGGACTAGGGGACACAAGTATAAATTTTGAAAAGGTACGAGTCATCTTCAGCCAAAACATTCATTTTTCTATCAGGGTGGTTGGCCTTTGGAATGGGTTGCCTTCAGATGTTGTAGAGGCAGTAAATTTAAGTGTGTTTAAGAAAAAGGTTGATAAATATATTGTTACGTCTCCGTTCGTTAGTTAAATTTCCGTAAATTCGTTCTGACGAAACTTTAGAGACACAAGTCCTTTCTTAAATAAAACTGGTTTATTCTTTCTGAATATAACTTTGCGATACACTTAATTTCAACAACGAACGTCTCACGTGCTCAACAATATTCTCTCTCCGCAGTTCAATTACACATTACCCCGCCTCAGTTTTTACTGGTTTATATATACAAGACTACACTATATCTAGAAGGATCCCGAGATTTAAGGAAGGGACGTGAACGTTCGAGAAGAACGTGGCGTGATACTAGTCACGTGACCTCCGATGTCGCAACAATATGAATGATAAGGGATGGCCTTAATTTTTTTTCTTAATAATATAGTTTAGAGGATGAAACAGTCGAGATGGATCAATAGGTCCCATGTTGTCCCAAAACATTATGTTATGTCATAAATGATATCAGGGATGGAGTTTTTATGTAGGAGGACCATCTTATCTCACCTTCCCCCGCTAGTGTTATTGTGTGACCCAAACCACAGACTTTGATCACCAAAGGATTGTTTTATAAGTCATGCTTTGTAAATAAAACTTCAACTTTTTGAACATAAACTATTGACGTTAGTAACTCTGTTTTTATAACCAGGCTTTAGAGCTTGAGCACTAAAGAACTGTGTTACTAATGGTATTTTGTGAATTTAGTTTCATTATCGATCTCACTATTCACCTTTTCAATAATATTTCATTGTCCTGCACTTAATCTATAATAAACTCAAAAATGGTTTTAATTTAGCTACATTAATATAAAATACTGTAGGGTTATAACCTCTAGTTCAATCTCACTCTCATTATTAGCATATTATATGTATTCTACCAGTGCATTAAGTTATCAGTTGACTTGATTCCAGAATCTTCAACCAGAATAACTGTGATGTGTGGAATTCGGCAAAACCTAAACTTGGATCGTCACCAAAAGCGCAAGTACACTGTGTATAAGTGGGAAAATCCTGCATTTCAGTCATCTTTTGTTTTCCAACCATGGTCAGCTTCTGGTGATCAAAACCTCCAGGGGTTAACGAATTCTGAAAGGCCATATGACTACTACCACTCTGTTGAGTTGGACAGCAGTGACACAAATACAGATGAACCATTCCCATCCATTGTGTGTCAACCAGTGATGGATCCTTCTCATCTGACTTTGCAAGGACATGTATCTGCAATATCAATAGAAAACTTAGAAGAACTGCTGGACTGTCTCTCTAATGAATTTTCAAGATATGGTTCAGTGGGAAATAATCATTCTCTTTTTTTGAGACGTTTGAAGCTTGAGCTACAAAGATTTGGATACAAAACAAAAGGTAGAAGACTGTTCAGTGCTCCTCTTCTTTTTCAAAATTTCCACTTCGGATCATTGTTAATAGCATTACATATAGCTGGTAATTTTCATATTCTTTTAGCAGTGTTCATAGAAATCTATGGTTATAATACATGGCTCTTACTTTACTTTCTTATCTATACTTTATACAAGATTATTAAGGTTCTAGAATTTTTCAAGAAGTTATTTTCAACAATTTTCCAAACACCTAATGTTACAATCAACTATAAAGAACTCTATGCACAATTACTAATTTCACTTATTCTCTTTAGCTTATTCATTTTACAGGCTTTTGAGGCATATGCAAGACCAGAAAGTCTGGCATTTCTGTATACCTTACAGTATGCATGTATGTTTTGTCAATATTATGGATCTCAATTTGATGAACTACGAATACAGATATTGAAAGGGACAGATTCAACTGACCTAAATAACACCAGAATTAATGGAATTTTGTCTTTATTACAACAGAAACTTTCTGGCACCATAACAGATTGGTTCTTTATGCTAGCATTGTGTGTTCCTGCATGTAGGTTTATTTTGTTGTTCCAGTTAATATACATACTGTGGCAACTTGTTACTCAGAGATGTTTTTATATTTCATTATTCCCAACTTATGTTAAGATCTTTTCATTGTTAGAGTATTCTCATTTAATTTTTTATATTTCATTTCCCATCTATGCCCTTAGTGTTATAGCATTCTCTCTGACAAACAACTTTCCAAATTTTCCAACATCAATGAATTACCAGGTCTATCTCCTCCTTATCTATGCAAATGTAGAATTTCTGTCAGATTACAATAAATTCAAGTTTTTCTGGGTTGATACAGTAAATGAGAGCAATAAAATTGAAAAAGACAAGTACCCAAAGAAAATGCTTTTTAATAACATTATATATGAAATAGACTCTTATACAGCCTGGTTACATCATTTTCTTCGGGCAACAACTATCTTGGCCTACATTTTGCCAGCTGCCTCAGGTATTCTTGTCTATATTTCTGGGCTTGAAGGAAATGTAATACTAATTCTTGTCATGTTTGGTGTATATACTTTTTGCATCTGCTTTGAATGTACTATTGCATTAGATGCTTTTGTCTGTAGTTTACAGTTTAATCTTTCATATACCTTTTTAGATTTTGCTTTATCAACACTACCTGGGTCAAATGACAATTATTTATAACCAATTTTGTTTTCTTAAATAAAGATACACATCCACAATTTAACTAAATATATTGTTAATTTTCATTGAAGTATTTACACAATAAAGAAAGAGAAACTATCATGAGTTTTATTCATATTTTAAGGTAGTGAATTGTAATGAATGTGAAACTATTTGTTAACAAAATTCAAAATGTATCTTTTTTGTATGTCAACTTGACAGCTGCCCTTGAATTTTCATGTTTCTGTATGCTGGGTGCACATCCTATCTCCAAGTGATACAAGTGCCAGTTTAAATACTTTTCTTACAGTTTATATTCAACCTTTAAATTGAGGGGAAAAGAAAGAATATTTGTGATTTTCATGAATGAAATGATAACTACTTCTTCCTAAAATTATTGTCAAGTTCGTGTGAATCAAATTAAACATTTTTTCATAATTCTGTCATTTGATATTTGTTACTAAAAAATAAAAATATCTGAAGTCATGCCATCATTGCTGAAGATTTGTATATTTCTTCACCTTTACATTAAAATCAAAGAATTCAAATGCATAAGTATAAATATAATAGTTTACATTGCAAATACACTATAACATGTTTTACTCATCTCATGATTTATAACACTAAATCTTTTCATAATCTCTCTTACATGGTTTATGTAGTCAGGTAGACATATTATATTTATATGGTACTTATTAATCTGACATAGAAATAATTATTTCTTATGTTCATATTTCACAGAATGTTATTTTTTATGTTTCTGACATTATCCTTTAAATTTAATTGACAAACAAAATAAGTTTGTTTAATGATACTTGAAAAAATTGATAGATTTATTCAGACCTATAATGTTTCAGTCTTGCAGATGTAGTTATTTTCCTTGTTGTCAATTAACTTTTACTTCAAGAAAATAGTTTTTGTCTTCTCTAATGGTGTCTTGAAGCTGTTCTATCTTCACAGAAGTACTGAAAATTTGAACTTATTGTTTTTCATATTTAATAATGGTTAACGTTTTATGGTGCCAGATTATATGCCAGTCTTGTTTTTATTTTTTTAATATATTACATCTACATGAGCTATTTTACTTCCAACCTTATTCCTCTAAATAATGAACATGACCACATCAAACATTATAAAAAATATGTAACTATGTGTACTGACTAGTTCTTAGTTGTTTAATTTTTTATATTTGTGTTGAAAATTTGCTATTTTAATTACAGACAAAGATATTAAACAAGACTTTTAATTGAACTTGTGAAACGGTTTTAATTGACTTGTTCAAAGGAGAGGAAAACACTTATGTGAAACACATCGGTGGCTGAATACTTACACATAATCAATTCTAAGAAACATAGAATAATAATATTTAGCCCCTTTTCACAATGGATTATTCTATCACTTGTGATGACCTTAATACTGAGATTTTTTAATATGCCATAACAAGATAAAGGTCAGACTATATGTATGATTCGCAAACAGCATAGCTTCCCTAATGATGGACAAACATCATAATATCCCTAATGGTAAAACAATTCAATGTCTTTCCTAAGGTAAGGAGGTGTTCAGACTTGGGAAAAGTAATCGAATTAATATCACAAAAATAATCGACTAAATCAAAATTATTGTTTCTGATTTTTTAATGCTTTTGATAATTCCAACAGTTGAGTAAATAAAAAGTATGATTATTCCAACTAATTGAAACATTGCCATTATGTATGTTGTTGAGCATAAAGCATATATTGGGGGTATGCATGTGTCAAGAATCTAGGGTATCGGATTCAATTCCCACTAAACTTGCTTGTCGTGTCTTTGATATTCCAAAGCTACTATGACTATCTGTCACTGTCTCTAAAGGAAAAGCAACTGGCTGGCAGCACCAACTACTTTTTTTTACATAAAGTGAAGACATACTGTTTTATTTTTACATTATTTCTTATTTATAATTGCATAACTGAATTCTTTAATGTTGTACACAATGATGGATCTACAGGAGGGGGGGGGCTGGAACTCTCTCCATTTGTTTTTAAAAAAATAATAACTGTGTGCTTTAATGTTCTGGGGGAGAGGTTGAAGAGAGCCAACCATCCATCCATTTTTCCTCAAAAATTAATAACTGCATTATTTAGTGTTGTATAACTAGGTGTACATCTATAGGGGTCTAAGCCCCCTCATTTTTTTTTTCTGAATTTAATAAAACAACCAGATATCCTTATACTACCACATAGTATCATAAAGAACCATTATATGTTAGTTTATTTTACTTAATTGGGCTATCAGTTACCATAAAAGCTTTTTTTTTAGGTTTTCTGAAATAAAGAGCTGGAGTTTATGGCCTCAGCCAATAACCAATTATTTCTAGGCTATTACAAAAAAATGTACCATTCCATACCATGTATATATATTCCTGTGTCTATGTAAACTACCAGATGACAATAAAACTTGGTTGAAAGATTGTAGATTTGTTGGTACGTTAAACCTGTAATAAAGTTTTTCTTTACTACCCATTCAAGCCATCTCCAAACTTTTGTCTCAGTATAGCAAATATTTGTGACTTCGCTTTTTTCAGATACTAACAATGTGTCTAGACTAGAGATTTATTTTCATCAAAATTTCTATTATTCAGGATACCTGCAGCTCTTATGACAGACTTGTTATAGAATAAATTTTTCATTGCTTATAGATTTAAAATTTTCTTAAGAATAAAATAAGTGAAAATTCAAGTGGCATACTGTATAAGTGACTTTTTAAAATATTTTGAAAACATACATCTTACTTCTATAACTTTTTCTATATAATGATTATAGTTATGACCATTTATGTGTAATTAAAAAATGTTAGAATTTTGTTTTTAACAGTTATTTTCATATCAATTACATTGCTAAAAATAAAGATATAAGCTGTGAAACTGCTGGATTATAACCTAATTGAGCTAATCATTTACAGAACATATTAACACTATTTTAACTTTGACTTATTTAGATTACTTTAGGTCTATATGATCAATATGGATTAATCCAAAATACTATATGATAGTGGAAGTTTGTTTTTATGTAAAAAATATTGAAAATTTGGTTACAGCTAGCTTCTATAAGTAAACTGGTATCTTACTATTATCATAAAAATGAAACATTGCTACAGCTTATGTAGAAAAGTCAAACATTGTTACTTGTTAACACAATAATACATTATCCAAATATACTTTATAGTTTTATTCTTATTCATTCACTAATAGTTTTCAAATTTTTGTGAGATAAAGTTAAATTCTCTAAGGGTTTTCAAAATTTGTAAGATAAAGTTGAATTTAAAAAGGTGTATTTCACAAAAAAATTAATGTTATTCTAACTTTTATGTTGTATGACTATAAATTTAGGCTACTTGAAGAATATCAAAAAATACTAGACTTTTACTTTGGTCAAGTACTCTTTTCTCTAATAAATGAGCTATGATTATTCATTTCATTCAATTGGTTACAAAATGTTTGAATAACTGTGTAGTTATAGCTACAACACTTAAGGACCCAACATTATTGTAAACACACTTATAAACATCTAAAACAACACCGAATTATCTAGAATAATAAGCCTGGAAAAGCATACACAGTATTGTTACAATAAATGATGATAAGTGAATAAATCTTTTACTGTTTCTAAATGTTCAATGCAGTTGCAATGTATGCTTGATACATTTTAATGAACAAAGTTTAATATAAAAAAGTAACACTTTTTAAATTATTAAGCCTTTAGTCAGAGTTTCCTCTGACTTTTCATTTTTTTTTTGCCATGTTAATTTTACATATTAATGTTAATATATTCAATAATTTTAATACAAAAATATTTTTGTATCAATGTTTTGTCCTTTTTACTATTGGGTAATGTAATTCATGAAAAAACAGTTAATATTTTCATTTTTGTACAGCTACAGTTTTGCCTGTGAACAAAACAACTCTCAATTTTTTTTTCTTTCTGTCCATTCCAAAGAATAATGTTGTAACATTTTTTTTATTATTATTAGGAGTGTTCTTTGAAATTATTTAATGAAAATATTATAAACTCCAATCTACACAATGATAATAAATTAATTTATTTCTTCCTTAACATTTCTACTGTTGTAGCTTATATTGTTGTAGACCAAGTTTACAAGTGTTCAAATGGAAATATAACAGTATTACAACTATTGTAAAAAAATTAACGTACTTGTATTTAATGACTAACAATCAGGTAACTGAATATAAATAATTAACAATGATTTAAACATTTCAATACAAGTTAATACTTCACTGAACTAAAAGTGACCAAGTAATCAATATTCATTAACTGTTCACCACTAGCTGATTCTGCTATTTATAATTAATCCTTGCTATATTTCAGAAAGCCTTTTGATCAATACAACCAGCAGATTCCTCTAGCAAACAAATTACATCATTAAAAATATACCAAACAACAACTATATTTCTGCTAAGAACTTATCACTCATTGAGAATATATTTCTCAATTTTCAAGTGTTACCCTTAGTTTTTGTTGACACCTTGTTACAGTGCTACATAAAATAGTTTGATTATTTACTAATGAAACACAGCTTTGAAAATAACTACAAAGAAGAAAAAAAAATAAAGAAAAGAACTGTTGGAATGTGCTGCCAAACAGTTGTTTTCCCTTCCCTTTAGTTATCAGTTCTAAATTAGTGACAGAGGCAGATAGCCTTAGTAGCTCTGCCATAATAAAGACAGGTCAAGCAAGTTTTTACTTCCCCAAAAATGATTTTCATCCATTTCTTAATGAAACAAACCAAACTTTTTGAATAAAATGAGCATATTACTTAAACCTGGAATTGAAGAAGCTTCTGATTTCAATTTCTTTAATATTTGTGCTAAAAATTTTAGTTTTTAGCTGTATGTTAATAATTCCATTAATTGCTAATTACTTAACCTTGAGAGAAAAGTGTTGTTCTTTTGACATTTTGTCATGACATGTGCTGGTTAGTCCGTAAAAACTTACCGAGTATTAAATTGTACCTTGTGTACGTATACTGTGTACCAACATATGATCAATATTTGAAAACAAAATATCAGTTTGTTAAATGAATAAACTGTACCTCTCTCTGTCTATTCTCTTCCTCAACAGATTCTTTATGCAATTTTTCTTCTTCATTGACCATGGCATTTGTTAGGATTTTTTCAGCTGCATCAGAACTTTCTAGAATACAAGATATTTCACATACTTGTATTATTTTTACCATAACCAATTTTAATAAAGTAATTATACTGTAACAATAACATAACCAGGAAAGATTTCTGTATTTAGTTCTTTAAGCATATTTAACTGAAGCCTTACCTTTTAATAAGCGATTTGACACAAACATCTCGCAAATCATTAGCTAAATTAACCTGTATATACCACTTTATTATAAATTCCATATTGCTTCAAATTTGTTTGTCAGCTTGTAATCAAACATTAAATAGTTTCTCATAGCTAGAGCTAAGTGATTAGTGGTATTAGTCAATCAACTGACAGCCCTATTAATCAATTACATTAGATTTATCGATTAATAATGTTACCCAAACCATGAAACCTACAAGGAAAAAAAAATAAAATAAAAAATTAAAGGAGGATGCTACCAGCCAGTTCCTTTCTTCTACTTAGCAGTTGTTCTCTAATCAGAGTTTGAGAAGAAGAGTAAAAACAATAAAGAAAACAACACAACAAAAATTGGCAAAAGGTGCTGCCAAACAGTTGCCTTCTTATCCAAAACTGGTGACAGTGACAGATAGCCTTAATAGCTTTGCCGTAACAAAGACAGGGTGAGCAAATTTTGTGACAGTGGAAATTGTACCTGAGACCCTCAACTCACAAGTCCACAACCCCCAAAATCACAAAAGCTGAACAAACTTGAAGTAAATAACTTGTAAGGCTAAAATACAGCAAAGCACAGAAAGCCAATTATGTAGTTTTACACTTAACAACAAACATAATAGGATGTTTATACAAAAACAAAGAAGTAATAATAAAAACAAAAGAAAAAAGTAAAGGTTTTTAATCTTATTTCTTCACCCCCCCCCCCATACATAGTGTTTATAAATAGTCAATAATACTGTTGGTTAATTTTATTGTTGTTCTCTAATGTGTCAAATAATTGTTATTCACTCTTGCCTGATGATGACCTAAGTAGAAGGTCAAAACATTTCATGGCCATATTTATGTATAAATGTGTATTTTTCTGTAATAAATATTTCAAAAGCTAGAAAGTTAACATTTTCTTAAATCGAAAATGTATTTCCAATAATACTTACATCTTACACAACTATTACTTTATTGCCAGGGTTTCTTCCTTTGCCCATCTAAGCATTGTCTGATTGTTTCTCACTTGCTCCAGTTTTTTTATACCCCACTTAAATTACCCTTGGCAATATTTGCTTTGTGACACTTTCCACCTATGTCAATGCACCCTCTTTCCTGGTACTGTATATAATCACCTCATTCAAATAATGTTACCACTTTTTCTTGACAAAGTGTTACTAACAGGTTTCCCAGTCCTACAATCATTTGGAGATACTTTGAACATTCTCCGTGTTACCAAAATATCACCAAGGGCAATTAAGTGAAGTATAAAAGTCTAGAACAAGAGAGAAAAAATCAGACCAATGCTTAGAAGGGCAATGAAAGAAACCCAGGCAGTAGAGTAATTGCTGTAAGTATGTTTTGGAATAACAAGTACTTAATGATATTGCTTTCATATATGGTCCTCAATAGTTTTGTAAGTTTAATACATATAGGTAAATATAAGCAGATTACATTAATCATCGAAAAAAAATAATTCATTCCTGTTAAAATTCTACAGATTTATTTAACATTTTATGTATAAGTTAATTTGCATAAACCAAAAGCATCACAACATGCATGGTTATTGCTGAATACCCATTACCACTGAAAGGTAAAAGCTAGATAGGTGGTAAGATAAATAGGCCAGCCTAAGTTTTTTGCTGGTGGTCTGTTATAATAAATATTACAAAAGCAAGTATTTTTATTGTCGGATACACAAGACTATTTAGGGTAAGAGTTATTATTTGGTTCATTTAGTGATCTAATATTCAATGATTAGTTTTCATAACAAGAGTATTAAAGTTAATTATTTTAAAGGCAATATTTATAACAAATTTTGTTAAGTAATTCGGTAAAAGTCATACGTTGTGTGCGTAGTTCAATTGTTGTAAATTGACGTCACATTACTTGAACCTTCTGTATTTTTTCTCATCTTGTAGTTTGTAAAAAGTTCTAGGCCTCAGGTGGGCACTGTCAGTTGACCAAGTGAGTGCAAGAAGTCAGAAAACATTCCGTTAGTGAAAGTGAAGTTAGACTGCATGATTGTTAGTTTAGCCATAATGGGCGATATTTAACACGAGTTTCACAATTAACAGAGATAAAGAAAAATAATTTGTCTTGTCAATTGTAAGAAAAGAGAATTATTTAGAATTTTTGATACAACTGTGATATTCTACAGTCTAAAGAATTTTTCTGTACATACATAATTTTAAAACAAGTAGACTGTGTGTTGTCCATTTATTGTTTGAATTTATCACCAACAAGTCACAGACACCTACTGTAAAAGAATACCAGCCCACTTATACTAAAATCCTGACATTTATACACCAACTAATGAACATATTTAAGTGTCTACAACATTTACAAATATGTATGTATTTTTACCTTTATTAATATCCGAAACAACAGCCAGAGGTTCTTGTGGAATGGAATGTGCTTCTTCCTTTGGCTCAGACTGGTTTTCTACAGGCTTAGCCGGTGAAACAGTAACAAGCGGCTCCATGACTGTTATTATCTACAGACCTGCACAACAATACATTTTATATCTTTTTTATTAAGTTACACATATGTTGAATTAAAATGAATTTCCAACAGATACTTATGTCTGAAATACAAAGGTTTATATAAAGTTGCCCTTTTGCTGTAAATAAAAATGTGACAAATTCTTGACATCTTTGGTACAATTTAGAGCATGCATTAACTTACCCATAGTTTGCTACTCTTCCACGTGACTTACTGCATTGGGAGGATAAACATAAGCTCTGTTTTTCTGCCAAAATCCAGAGTTTGTAGTTGCAGTCATGAGGGAAACCACATATCACCCAGTTGTGAGGAGATAGATGGGATGTATTTCAGAGGTAAGTACTTGCTTGAAGTTCACTTTAATTCTAAAAGTTTAAAACTCAAAACAGGCAAACTTATATCATAAATACAAAAGGCCATAACATCCACAATGAAATGGAGGAGTGAACTGGAGAGTCACAAGAACCACTGGTTCACCAAAATTTGTGTTCTTAAGCAGGATAGTAACAAATAACCTAGACAACAACAACTAAATATGTGATCAAACAGAGCTTAAGAGAATCCAGAACTTGACTTGATTAAATGGTCTGGATTCATAAGAAAATGAATCGAGTTGGTCTAGTCTCATACTTTCTTCTCAACATAGTACCTTCTCACCTTCACCACCCCTTACATAATAAATGAAAATGGGGAATCTGATGACTTTTAACTGTGGAATCATCACCATCACATCCTCAGGTTTGGTCACAGGTAGTCAGGGTCAAATTACAATGCACTGTCCTGTATCTATAGTAGAAGACTCTCAGAGGAGTAAGACCAGTAATAGTTAAAGAATAGATATACCCCTGAGACTAAGGCTCCCTAAATCGTTATCCAATGAGGCTTGGTCAGTAAGTGGATACACAGTAGGAATTGTAAAGATCCAGGCAGACCTGACAATGGGCTTTCAACTCAAGGATTGCTATGGGAACATCAAATATATAATGAAAAATATATATAAAAAGCAGCAACATTTTCTCCATCTTGGTTGGAACTAGATATGATATAATTTGGAAAATGGTCATTTCAGCTCTAATGTCTTGAATGTTCTGCATGCTTTGCATTGTCAAGGACATTCAGAAGTTTTGTAATATTTGTTGATAGCATAAAAGCAACATAGTAAAGACAGTTTTTTTTGTTGTTTTTTTTAAATCAGAGATAAGTTTACATGTTTTGAACTTTTGTTGAAAGAAGTGATTCCAGAAAACAAAACTGAATAATGAATGACCAATATATATATATATAACATGATAATAGAGAAATCCATACTCAAAAGGTTTTATATCATAAAAACTACTTTTCTTGGAGGAAATTTCAGAGGCATACTGAGAATCAAGTTTTATTCAGGATAGTCTGAAAACTATATCACACTGCATACCTAAAATGAGTACTTTACTTCTTTTTCTCTCTCTCTCAAAAACACAAAATTGTACAGAATAATGAAATGATCAATGAATACTAGAAAAGATACTTGCAGTAGCTTCATTTAGGAATAGGTCTGATATGTTGTTTGAGAATGATAAAAAAAAAATATAACAAACACGTGTGGGTTTTTTCAACTATCCTATGGGATGTCAAAAAACATGATACTCAATGTGTCACTGGTGAAAACTTAGGTCCCTTAGGATATGCAGTTTTCAGTATATAATCATTTTAAGTAAGGGTTTCTCTTTATACTTACCATGTCCGTGTCTATTTAATGTTGTATAAAAACTGCCAGCATACCAAACTGACTAGCTACAGTAACTAACACACTAACAATGTGTGAAAACTGAAAAGATCATTATGTAGAAAATTAAATTTTAGCAACAAACAAAGAACAAACTAGTTTAAGGACATCAACAAGGATCCTTGCAGTTACACAGTACAAGTACTAATGGTGCCATGCACCTTACAGATGTGGAGAGTTTTTCTTAAGAAAAATTTCAAACCAAAATTAAGATGCCAAAAACAAAAACAAAAGGTTAGAAACTGAAATGTATTAAACTTCCCTAGAACATTTTGTATTTAGGAAGGAGGTACATAATTTTCCACAATATATTCATCATACAAATTTTTTTACTCTTTATAAACAATTCCTATCTATTTCAATATTAATTACTTTTATTAACCTATCTATTTCAATATTAATTCTTCTTTTACATTATTTAATATAACAGCAAATCTATCAATTTCATTCCTACTTTCTTTCAACTTCAATTTATTCATATTTTATACTTTTTTCCCATCTCTTCACACACTCATATGTTCCACTATCTCTTCCTTTTACTTGCATCTACATTTCTGATACTCTTGACTCCTTCATTTATGCTCTCCTCTTTAAATATTTCTGCATCTTAATCTGGACCAAAATTTAATTTTTTTCTCTCTTTCACTTAAATATTGCATCATTCCAATTTCCTTTATCTTTTTAAAATATGTACAATAAGTAAGTTATTCTACTGTATTCCAATTCTCCTGGATATTTATTCTACATCTTCCTTACTTCTACCATTTTTTCTTATTTGTGTACTTCAAACACCTTTCAGTGCTTATCCCCACCTCCCAGTTATTCTTCCTATTATTTCCCATTCCTCTAATTAACTCCTATAAAACATCTTTGGTCATCTTTTTTTCCTTTCATTTTTATTAATTCTGAAGTATATCCAAAAACTTTCCTCATATCCTTTTATTTCCACATTCAATCCTCCTGTTTCTAAATTTCAAACTTAAGTGATTGTACATATTTTGCTATATTTTTAAAAGCAGATATAACACATCTGCATTTATTTTGTGATCTACTTTTTTAAGCTATTGTCTCTAATTCTGAGCTGTTGATTAAAGGGAAGGCATCTGGCTGGCAACATCTGCTGCCCATTTTATTTAATTTTTCTTGTATGTACCATGGTTTGAAAAACTGTACTAATCAACTCATCAAATGTAGTGTATTAATGGGGCTGTCAACTAATCAAATACCATTTATTCACCCAGCACAACCGATAACCATGGACACACCAAAGTCAATAATTTTAATAATAATAGCTTGAAAAATTACTCATGGATTTCTCTTGACTCGTTAAACTAGATTCACGATTAAATCTTCTGATACTATTATAATTCACTTTGTTGAATGCAAAATATTTAAGTGGGATTCATTGCATACTGCTTCTTTCAGAGAAGAAGTACATTCTTTCAAACATTCCACAACTCAATTGCATAACTTTCCAATGTTAGAACTAATCTAGTTCATTCAATAAGACTGTCAGTTAATTTGGATAAGAGAAACATTTTCAACAGCATCAACTGTTCTTAGCATTTTGCAACAAAGTGAAAAAAAGAAAAGTGATTAATGAATAGCCATGCCTCCACTGTACTCCTAGTTAGACTTCACTGATTCAGTCTTATTTAGGTTTAGTACTATGTGTAAACTTGTCCCTGCTCTTTGGCTTAGGCTAGTGTTAATGCCAATGGTTGTCAGATAAGTATCATTAATAACAGGCAGTTATTTGTAACCTAAGTTTAAAAAAGTTAGAAAAATTACATTTCACTAACTTGATCTAGTTCACACCATAACAACTGTTGTTATGGAGTTTAATAACATAACTGGCTTCTCAACCACTACTGTGTCTGTCACAATCCAACTGGCATGAAGAGCTCTGGTACTAGGTACACAAACTTGTAGAATACAGCAGATATAGTATGGTTGAAATATTATCATACACTTTTCTTTCACTAGGAAATTTTTATTAATAATTACTAATGTAAGCTTCTCACTTGATCAACTCCAGGATCAAGAAGACACGCTTGCTGGTTTCCCACATTTTCTGAATAACAATCAAGATAATTCATGAAAATGATAACTAATAATATGTTAAGATAAAAAAGTAACACAGTGTTAAATAAACCTTAATTTAACTTTTACATGTTGTGACATTAATACAAAACTGATAAGAAATCACACTTTGACTTATTCCAGTTCAACCAACACTTGTTGGCATGCAATTTAGCTCAATAATATCTAAAACCTAATATGTCTGTTGTATTCCAGCTGGATTAAAGAGCCTTAGTACTGGGCAAGAGGCCTTCTCGGCACTGGATGTAAGGAATAAAGTATTTTATGGTAATTAATCATAGTGTTGTTGACATATTTTATACTCATGTTAATTCACTTAGAAGTTCTTATTAATCATTACTAAATTATCTAAGCCAAGTCTAATATAAATAGTCTTTTAACTTGTAAGTTACTTAATTTTAACTATTTTTTAAGTGACAAAGAGAAATACTAAGTAACTTTTCAGCCTTTTAATGTGAGTACTTATATTTGTATTAAATAATTTATTTGGACTATCACCACGTTTTTTTAGATTTTTTTAATGCAGAAGCTTTCGGCTCAATTACATAAGCCTTCTATAGGTAAGAGACTTTTAATAAACAACAGGATCTAATGTAACAATTTGATTCACATGTAACCTAGCAACAACGAAAAACAAGAATGTATCCTAAGTTTTTTACAACAATAAGCCTAAAGCCTAATAAGCTAAAACATTATTACAAGGTCAAGAAACATAGCAAACAATATTATTATTGTGGTTTGTTAACATAATTCTAGAAAGATAAAATCAACAGTAAAAGTAAATAAACATAGATTTAAAAATAATAATAATAAACAAATTGAGGTTACTTTTATAACAGCATTAGAGTCAAAACATGGTTTGATTTCTTTAATGAAAGGTAACCAGCAAGTATGAAAGGTGAATTTATAATTTTGGTTAATGCCTGTAGGAGGATAAGGTTGACTAGTTGTGAAGTAAGCGTCTTATTGTTAGGTTTAAGTTTTACTTCAACTCCAAACAGTGTATCCTACTCAGATATTATTTCTGCTACACGAATTGCCAGTTGTTTAGAAGAACCTGCTGCTACTGAAGTTTGTTTTAAAATAAAGAAAACCATTAAAAAAGTGATTAGACATAACAATAAAAACCCATAAAGAACATCAGTCTTGAAGAATGTAAAACTATTCACAACCTTAAACAAGACAACGATAATGTGATTCTGCCAGTGGACAAAGGGAACTCTACTGTCCTTTTGAACAAAGATTATGAAAAGAAGGTAACTGATTTGTTATCTGACCCTGTATACATACTCTACTAAAAAAACTATGAAGGAAAAAAAATTTCTTTCACAATTTATGAGCAGGAGAGATTACAAAAGATACATATCAATGGTTATCTTCTCATCATTGTTCTCCTACCATGCTTTATGGTCTTCCAAAAAATTACAAGCCTGACATATCTCTATGACCTATTGTATGCTATATTGATTCCCCTATATATAACTCTGCAAAAGTTTTGTCTAAGATTTTTAAATCTTTAGCTGAAAATTCCAAATATTCCTTAAGAAACTCACAACAGTTTGTTGAGATTATTAGAGACAAAGAGATTAATAATGATGACATTCTTGTTAGTTTTGATGTGGTATCCCTGTTCACGAGAGTTCCTCTCTCTCTGATACTATTAGTATTATAGAAGATTTATTAAGTAAGGAAAAATTTGTTTTCATACTATTCTCTCAAGAAAAAAAAAATTGATGCATTGACACTATCAATTCTCTTAATCTCAAACATCTCAATCCGATCCCCCTCTAACTCTTTTTTGTCTTTTAAGAAAAATTAATTTCATACATCTTAATCTGTCCTCATATGATAACCTTTCCATCCCAGTAGCCATCCTCTGAAATCTTTCCAATAGTTTAATGTCCTTTTTAGGGTAAGAAGCCTAACTCTGAATAAAATACTCTAAACATGGCCTAATCAGTGACCTATACATTGAAATTATAACCTCTTTAGATTTATATTCAATATTTATGTAGATACAAATGAAAATCCTATTTGTCCTACCACTATTAACAGCACACTGCTTGGATGGTTAACTTAAAGAGACTGATCAACCACTACACCAGGATCCTTTTCTTTTATATGACTGTTACTGTTAAGATTCTTCCCATCAAAATTATACTTATGTCTGAAATTATGATAACCCACATTCATTACAATGCATTGTTACAATTAAAAGTTATTTGTCATATATTTGTCCAACTCACCAAAGGATTGAAATTCCTTTATGAAGTAACACCATAATTCTCACTGACAGCAACCCAAAGACATTAATAACAATTATATAATTTATTGACCATTCCTTGATTTACGTCATTGATGAACACCAAAAAGTCCTAAAACCGAATCCAGAGGTACCCACTTGCAACATTAATGCAACTTAACTTTATTTATATTTTATAACAACCTCCTTTTTTCTTTCACCCAGCCACTTTAAAACCCAACGAGCCAACTTCTATCCCACTCCTATAGTGATTTTTAACAAGCTTTTATGTAGCACCTTGTCAAATGCTTTCTGAAGATCAAAATAAATTACATCCACACCCTAACCTCATCTATATTATAGTATATACATCATAAACAGTGACCACTTCAAAAACTTCAAAATATTAGCAACAAAAAAACTTAAATTATTTAAACGACTTTGCAAATCATCTTTCTTCAAACTTTCAAAACCTTTCCCACCACTGACGTAAGACTAATACTGAGTAATAGGCCTATAAATTATAATTACCAAGAGAATTTTTATCACTTCTATAGTCTCTGGCACTTGCCCACAGTTTAAAATTTTAAGAACTTAAGTTACAATACAAGTTCAACTTACAAGTAACAGCATTACCTTTTTTTTTTAGTATATCCTATTAATATTACCACTACCACAGTACCGCTACCAGTGTTACGCCCGCTCTGCTGATGACTATACAATTCCTAGTATAATTTTATAAGATATGGTTTAAGTACAATTAGTACAAACAATGAAAATCAACATATTATTTCTATGTCATAAACTATTCCTCACTGAACACTTAAAGTTAAAATTAAATTAAACTTACTCACCTGAACGTCGAAGTTTGATACTCAGGTTAACAAATATCAGACCCCGCGAGATACTCACACGCTACTTTTCCCGCGTTATTGTGTTTTTGTTAGCTCTTGAAAGAACGCCATCTTCATTCAGTAATACTAAAAATGTTTGAAACTAAACTAAAGCATTTATTAAATTCCACTGAAAAACTAATGTAACTCCTCTTTTCAAGGAAGGTGGTAAAAATTGTTCCAATAATTATTGACCCAATAGTCTTACATCAACTGTGGGAACAGATTTGGAAAGTCTGTTAAAAGATGCATTGCAAAGTCACTTAACAAAGTTTAGAATTTTATTGGATAGTCAACATGGTTTCACTAAGGGAAAATCTTGCCTTACGAATCTTTTAACATTCTTTGAAAAGGTTACTGCTTATGTAGATAAGGGTAAGGGTTTAGTTTGGTGTATCTGGATTTTGAGAAAGCATTTGACAAGATACCACATAAAAAGGCTTGTTAAAAAAATTATCTCCATATATATGTGGGATAAGTTAGCAAATTGGATAGAAGAATGGCTGGATGGAAGAAAGAAGAAAGTTGTTACAAATGGAGTTCAGTCAAACTGGATTAATGTCACAAGTGGAGTACCTCAGGGCTCAGTCTTAAAACATTTGTTCCTTTATATTTACACCAATTACACAGATAAATGAATAGTCAATAAATTACTTAAATTTGCAGATGAATTATATTAAGGTCTTTGGTGTTGCTTGCTGTGAAAAGGAGGTTCCTGATTTACAAAAATATTTAGATCATATAGTGAGTTTGACAAATAAATGGCAGATGCGTTTTAATTATAATAAATGCAAGATAATGCATGTGGGTTATCATAATTTGAATATAAGTATAATTTGGATGGGAACAACCTTAACAATGTTATGAAGGAAAGGAATCTTGGTGTAATAGTCAATCAGTCTCTAAAGCCATCCAAGCACTGTGCTGTTGCTAGTGTTAGGGCAAATAGGATTTTAGGTTGTATCTACAGAAATATTGAATACAAGACTAAAGAGGTTATACTTTCATTATACACGTCACTGGTCAGGTCACGTTTGGAATATTGAAAATATACTCAAATGATTTAATCTATTAGTCTCATAAAGTAATCGAATTAATATCACTAAATTGAAAAAAGTATAAAATTAAAATATGGATGGACTTAGCTATATCTATATTAAGTAGTTAAAAGTAAGCTGCAATAAAAAAATTATAGATCAACACACTCATGATTTGTAGCAATTTCTTTATGGCAACTGAAAATAAAGTGCTTCAAGCACAAACTTAACATCCAAGTCCTTTTTTTTCTCCAGGGAGACAGAGCCAATTACTTCTCGTAAACCACATATCATGATTCACAAAGGCCAGTTTCCATGAAGCAGCTCATAAACCATACAAAAGCTGCCTTGCTGAAGCTGGCCTTTAGCAGATAGAAGTAGTCAGTTGATAAGAATTATTATTTCCAGGAACATTGTGTTTTACATTTCATGTTTTGTAACCCTTTCTGTACTGCAGGTGTGCAAAAATATCACATACTCATAGTAGAAGTACTTCAACAAACTACATGAAAAAATAATCAAAGTTTCTCTAATTTTTTAATAAGCACTTGGAAAGACTGACAAAGATTTGTCACTGATCAATGACCTCAACTTAAAAATGGCAACAATATTACTGTTACTAAGTGTTATGTCATGATATTTGGACATTTTTCATTGAGATCAATTTATATCTAATAGTTATTGTTTTCCTATAAATAATATTGTTTTGTATTTGTGTATTTTTCTTAAATACACACACTGTAACAAAACATATAATAAATATAACTAGCATCTGAATAGTTTGCTTTTGTAGGCCTAGTCTATTGTATTCACTAATATACCATCAAATTATATACCTACATTTATAACAAATGCTGTGCTTGCATACAAACTTATTTTTTTCTCAAGTCTGACCATTTTTTAAATTCATATGAATATTCATAATTATACCTGGATTATCAACTGACAAAATAAAGTCCATGGCCCCTGATGGTTAGTGGATAAACAGTAGAACTCATTAGATTTTGCTAGCTAGTCATCACTAATTTGAAAGCTGTGGGTAAAATGCAATACTAAACATTAAGTATTAGTTTTAGCTATTACAACTGTACTTACTAAATTCTATTGTCAAAATTTAATAATTAAGTATAAAAACAAAAAGGCACTTTTGTGCAGCAGTAACTAATTTTTTGTAAATGAAGTGTAAAAAACCTAATATTCTTTAATTTTTTTTACTGTCCTGATTCAACCATATATGAGAATCATTTACTAATTTTACAAAAGAAAAGCATACTTGAAGTGTAGAACTCTGGGCTGCACTCACAAAGAATAAAAATTTTATCAGAAATCAAATTGTTTATAATGCTAGACCAAAGTTTAATAAATTAAAAAGACCATAAACAATTGACACATTTACCACCTGTAACACTGTAGACATAAAACCAGCCTGTTATATTTCATTTTTTAACACTTTAGAAGTCCTGAATGGATTTTTAAAGAGAGTTGTTACTTTAAATCATTTGTTTGTTTTGCTGGATTTCAAATAAAGCTAAAAGAGGTCTACTTGCACTAGTTGTCCTTAATTTTGAAGTGATATGCTAGATGATTTGTGGGTTTTATTGGCAATGCTACTGAGCTTATCATCTGCTTTTCCTAATTTTCAAATGATGACCAATGCAAATTTGGGGCTACTCTTTTACCAACAAAGAATGGAATTGATCTTCACTTTATAAGGCCTCCATAGCTAAAAGGGTAAGAATGTTTAGTATCCTTAGTACCAGGTCTTAGACTAGATGGAATGCAGATAGTCAATACTCAACATTATTTATCAGCAACTTTTGGGCTTGTCTTGTTATATTGAATAGGACTACATTATCATTTTTATAATACCCTATGGCACAAAAGAGCAGAGTGCAATTTGTTTTGGTGGTAATGGAACAAAAACCATGAAATCTTAGATCCAAGGATTGGCATGCTAACCACTAGTCCATGCTCAGCCTTATTTAAATGAAATCATAATGTTAGTGTAATTGTTTAATTTCATGAAGTTTTCACCAAATAAATAGTACATAACATTTTGTGAACACTTTTCAAGAAAGCAAAAATACATTAAATCTAGAATGACAGTAAAATGATTTCTAATCAAAAGCATTACCTCACTTTTTTGTTGCAGTACTTTTATTTTTTGCTTTTCTCTTTGTTGTGCATTCATCTCTTGTTTTTTACGCTCATCTTTTTGCTGATTTTCCATCTTGTTGAGTAAAAACTGAGCATAAAAACTGCTTCGATCCAGAAGATGAAGAAGACGCTTGAAACACTGCTCTTTGTGTTTCTTGTCCATCTTCTCTTGGATTTCCTAAAATTTCAGATCATACAGATTGCTTAAATAGTATCAACAGGGTTCATACAGAGTTTGGAAAGAGGACTAATGTATTACAGAAAGATAAGACTAATTATTTTGGTCACACATGAAGGAAGTATCAACTAATTATATATATATATATATATCAAAATACAAGAAAAATCAAGAGGACTAGCATATACTTCATGCTCCAGGTTTTAGTTTACTGATACTTTTTTAAACAGCCAAAATAATAATGCACATATTTTGTGAGCACACCTTTTTAGTAGCACAAAATTTCCTTGCAACTAGCCTTGTACAAACGATCTGTTATAGTTATTAACTTGGAGGCAAGTAGCTTCAATAAACAAAAAAAATGTAGAGTCCTGGTTCTTAGGTAACTAAAAGCAACAGAATAATCATCAAAAGTAAATCGTTTGTGACTTTCACTGCCTGAATGAAAACTCTGAGAGATCTAGTTGACTACAGCTAAGGCTTTGTGATAAGAAGTTGGTTAATATTTATGACCAAATATGAGAATAGTTGGAGTGGAAATTTCCTGAAAGCAGCTGAGGCATACTTGGGTGCCCAAGCCCTTGGTTGCCAGAAAGCTTCAGAGGTTCTATTATTGAACACTCCATTATCTAGCATACCCGACACCTGCTACTCCAGTTTTAATGCAATTGATTCTCTTATTCAGAGTCCCCACATATTTCCAAGAGTTTTACACTTGACCAATTTGAGTTTAAGTAAAGATAATTATTAAGGTTCATTCACCTTCAAAAAGTATTAGATTAAAGTTTACTGCTGTTTATAAATTCAAACATTTAATGAAATTAATAATACATGTAGTTTAATAACAAAATAGTACTCTGAAGACAGCACTTTATTAGATTTTGCTCCTTATTTCATGGAACTAAACATTCCATCAATCTTTCACTAACCCTCACAGTTTGTGTGAGAACATGTCACACTTCTAAGTTTTTCTTTGCATAGGTTAGTTGAAAGCTTTCACATTTAAATTAATAAGGAATAAGGGTAAAAGTCTTTTTTCTGAACACTTCATATTAAATATCTGCATTTCTTTGTCACATTATTTATTTATAACTTACTTTGTAACTGCCTTAAATATGGGTGAAGTTCTTTACCATAAAATTCACCTAACACTTTCTTTATCATCTTTTAGAATATCAAACCTTGAAGTCATTATCTGTCTCTCTAATTCAGTAAACACTGGTAAAAAGTCTGTGTGAATTTCTACAACACACAAATAATAACATACCAAGTATGACAAATAACAAAATTGCATATTGATACTAAACTATTAAATATATAACATCATATCTGTCTGCAAAGAAAGAATGCAAGCCATAATCAAAATGTATTACCATGATCAACCTTCAATTATATATTTACAGTAGCATACAACTAACATTTAAACTTGCCTGATGTCACAACACAATGTCAGTCAGATGAGTGCAAAGAGCTTTAGTGATAGTTTTAGATATTACTTGATTGATTGAAACTTATTATTACAGATTTCAAATAAGAATACAATGTAAAATATATTTTAATATTAACAAGAATTCCATGTTTTTCACCTTTTGGGAATGGCTTCAGTGAATGAGGGCAGTTCGTAATTAATCAATGCTGTCAAATAGCAACATCATAATTGTGTCACTATTCATCAAGGTATAATGTATATCACCAAGTGACTGGACAAAATACAGAAATTCCCCAAGTATTGATAGTTTTTGTCTGATTACCATTTGTATAACAAAACCTATACCATTAACCAATCTCCAAAACAATTTACGACTCAAATCACCTTAACCAAAAACAATATATGGCACATTTTTAACTATGTGAAAGGAAACTGACCAGTTTCACGAGTTGTCATTGGCACAACATCTGAATATACACAAATAGGTATCAATCAACAAACAAGCATGTTTTAATTTGGAAGATGAAAGTCAGAATTTACAGTTTCTGAGTTTATAAAAGTTTTGGAAAGACTTTTTTACTTATATTAGACTTTGAAAAATAGGTGAATAGATACAGCTGCTACCTGTTTAGCCAGTAACCCCACCAAATAGTGGAAACCAATTAGTTTTGACATATATCTTGAAGAGTGAGAAGAATTATTTTGCTGAAAATATAAGTTTAACGGAGAGGAAACTGCTGAAACATCTATTTAGAAAATAGTTCCCTTATAGTAACTGTGGAACTCTCAAGCTACCAAAAGGTAAATGGTGAAATATTTCTCCAACTACATTATGTTTTGAAGGTAGCCCCATGAAGTGTGGTCAATAAAGGAAAATGGTGCTACCAAAAAAAACCGAACAAGGAGTGGAACAAACCATAGCTAGAACTGTGGACAACTGATGAATCGGGGGAAAGGTATAAAGATATAAACCCGGCCAGTTTTGACTGAATGCATCTATTGCTAAAGCTCGTGGATGAGGTACTATGGACCAAAACTACTGCAGTTGAGGATTCCAAAGAGTTGCAAAGGCATGATCATCGGAGACCCGAACCAAGAGCAAATCCACTGAGAAACCTCATGATGTACCATTCATTTGGTTGGGCTGAGACAAATGATCTGCAATGAAATTCACCACTCAGGGAACATGGCACGCCAAGAGGCATATAAGATGGGAGTGAGCCCAGCAGAGAAGATCTAAAGATCCCTTGACGAGGAGTGTAGGATAACACTGTGGAATTGTCGGAATGTATCATGATGACTTTCCCCTTGAACAGAGACAGACCCTACACCATTGCTCAGTGTACTGCAAGTAGTTTGACAATACTGATGTGAAGAAAAGACTCATAGGCTATCCAAATACCCTGGACATAAGCACCCCAGATAGTGATGTTGTTCTGATCCAACCACCAGTTGTGATCTGCGATGTTGCTCCTGAGTAACGATACAGGATGATCCAATGGATTGAAGTTCATGCTCCACTGCACGACCAATGAAGGGACCTCATATGGGCTCATCCCAAGGGAATGAGAGATTTGAGGGATATCCACATCTTCAAAAGAGAGAACAATTCACACAGTAGGAGAAGGAGACATAAGTAAAAGCCGACTGTTCTTTCCATAGCTTGTAGTCTGATGGGAGTTGGCTAAGCCTGACTTAAGTACGTGTTGAAGAAGACACAGAGATCGATAAGGTATTGAGTTGGTGATAGAATGGATTTCTCTACTTTGACAAGATGGTGCTAAAAGTAACCAGTCGTCCATATAATGATGATGTATGCACAGGCCCAAGAAATGCAGGTGGCAAGAAAAAGCTCGTACCACTCTGCAGAAGACATAAGGTGCTGATGTAAGGCCAAAGGGCAGAGCTCTGAACTGAAGTGCTTGATGCTTGTGCACAAATTGTAGAAATCAGCAGGATGACTCTGCTATGGGAATGTGAAGATATGCATCAGTAACATTGAACTTGGTCATACAAATACCAGGTAAAAAATGCCATTGTAAATTGAGAAAATATTCCATCATAAAACAAGGAAGATCCAAAAATTGATTGTGTGAGACACATCGATAATTGGATGCTAATCTCTGGTTTTCTTGGCCACCACAAAAAGATGGGAATAGAATCCCAGAATAACAGGATCATCCCTCTGTACTGCCCTTTTGTCTAACATCTCTCTGATGGCCTGAGAACAAAGTTCTACATGCCAAAGATCTGTTGAAGGTAAAAAAACAACAGGTTGAGCGGATAATGGAGGTGGGGATGTAAACTGAATGTCCAACCCTGACTCCAGAACATGGATCCATGGTTAAGGAAATCCAACTGTTGAGAAAGCAATTAATCATCCTCCCACAGATCACCTCAGCACATGGTAGTTACTGATGCCGTTGGCACCGATCCATCCAAGCAGAAAATCCACGAAGATCAGGATGGATTCTATTGTGGGAACCAATAGAACGAGGGACTAAAGTCGGGGGTCAAGAAATATGACGTTGTTGGTGAAAAGCCAAGGCATGCTATTCTGATAAACGTGGAGGACAAGGCATAGCTATCCCTTCATGTAACTGATTAGTAAATCTCCTAGCATGAGCAGCAATATCTGGAAAAAGGAGGAAGAAGTAGTCAGTTACCATCCTTTCCACCAACAAGGAAAGAGTAGATTCAAAAGGCAATAGGGGATAACCCCAAAACCTCACAAACTCGATTAACCAACTGAAGAAAAGGAGCAGGAGGTGATTGAGCTAGATTGTCTTCTGTTAATGCCAACATGGTGCATGAAGGAGCCAGAAAAAGCCACCTCGGAACCCGCCCCCTGTAGAGACACCCTCGGCCCGTATATATGTCTTCATCTTACAACGGATCATATCACAGATAGCCTCGACTGAGAGTACCCCTCCCCCGACTGTTGACAAATGCCAGATAGCAAAGGTGGAATAGGAGAGGTCTGGTTAGCCTCCGTTGTGGAAACATTAACTCAGGAAAATGACATTGAAAATCGCAACTGAAAAATGTTAACAATCACAGCACTCCTGTAGAGAAACCCATGTCAAATACTTTGTCAAGAAAATGTGATTACTTTATCTGAATGAGGTGTTTATATACAGTACCTGGATAGAGGGCGTATTGATGTTGGTAGAGAGTTTTGCAAATTAGATATTGCCAAAGGCATTAAAGTGGGGTATAAAAGACTAAAGCAAGTGAGTTCAATGCTTAGATGGGCAAAGAAGTAGAAACCTTGAAGATCGAGAAATAGCTAAAATGTAGGGGATGATAAGTATATTTTGGAAGTTTGAAGTTTACTCATTTTGTTTGTTAAAGCCAAGAGCTGGCATTTTCAAACTGTAAATTGAATTTATTCTTCTTGTGAACATTTTAATAAATACTTTGTTTTCTGATAGTAACACTTTCATATATTTTTTGTGTAAAATAAAACATTCATTACAGAGTCAATCAAAAATAAATTGCATGGATATTTTTATACTTACTGCTGTTGCTTTAAGTGAAGAAACACAAATAAAAAAGTGGTTAATT